GACACTGACGCTTCCATCCATTTGCACATCCCATTCATCCATTTGCCCATCCCATCCATCAATTTGCCCATCCCATTCATCCATTTGCCCGTCCCATCTATGCAGACAAGGAGGTATTGTTCTTTCAAGCTCCAAAAATGCTCAGTAGGCAGGYAATCTTTTGCACTCAAACTTTGTGCCCGCGTTCACATCTCAGCAGGTCAGTTTGACTTTTTACAACGGATTGCGGCAACTTCCAACGCCTTTGCACAATGTATCACTTCTCCTGCAACTTATCTCGCAATTTTAGCGCATATTTTTGAAGAGCGCATGCGCAAGTTTTCAAATCATCCAAGATGGCGGCTATAAAAGGTATACGTGATTCGTCAAGTGATTTTAGTGAAACAAAACGTGGAGAAATTATCGCAGATAAAGATGAAGCAAAGAAATTGCTTGACGACGATAAAACAGTTGTTGGTGATAAAAAGTGAAATATTAAAATTTTTTTTATCGATGCAATACAAAGTTAATATCTAATGATAAAATAAATAGAGTAGAAAAAAAAGAAAAAGAATTTTACGTTTCAAGATCCGTGTCTCTTCCTCAGTAAAAAATTACCAACTGAGTTATCTATGTTTCTGCTTACAAAGATAAGATTAAGAAGGTACAGGCTTCGAAAGCGAATCTCATGCTATAAATTATTAGTTCTTCACAGGCTACCCGGGCCAAACTGTCGTTGCAATTCGCTGAAATCGCGTTGCTGTGTAACGCCTCATCTTAGCAATCTGCAATTAACGCATATACATTTTCGAGCATTGCGAAACCGAAGGTCGTAAGGAAATTGTACAGTGTAACACAACCTTTACAAAGGAATTTTTTTCATACCAAAAAAGACACTGAACTTAACTATTCTTGTCAATGAAATCTCGGATCGTCAGTTTTTACAATGTTCATTAGTGAGTAAAGTTGCTTGTTCACTTTTGCCTAAAGTATATATTTTTTCCACGATTGGTACTTTCTGTACTGCGTTGTGAAACATCTTAGAAAAAGAAAGAAAGAAAGAAAGAAAGAAAGACAGACAGACAGACAGACAGACAGACAGAGAGAAAGAAAGAAAGGAAGAAAGAGAGAAAGAAGAAAGAAAGAAAGAAAGAAAGAAAGAAAGAAAAGAATTCCGAATCAAAGTAAAAAATACTGCATTCAACGTAAATGAGGTCAGCATTTCATAACTACAGTTTATTATTTATATCATACTGACATTTGACGTTCAAAACAAGAGAATGACGCGTACGATAACAGCGTTACCACCAAACGCGTGGGACAGTAGAATACGCATTCCCGTAACGCGTATTTATACGCATATAAATATTTCAGTAAAACATCTTCTAAGCTGTTAAGGACTTGTCATGTGACAGTTATATTTATACATTTGTATATCGCTTCGGTCAACCGTCGGGGATTAATATATAAATTTGGACAATTTTATACAGCCACTGCATATGCAGAAAGTTTGATCCGTTTTCCAAAAAAGAAATATATATATCAAAAAGAATGAAAACTATTATA